AGAAGACGATACAAACGTACTAGACTACCTCAGCATTATTCCACATTTAAATCCCTACGAAATCTCACACAAATGACCCTACGTCGCGCCAAAGCCCAATACTTTAATAACGTTTTATCCCACGAACCTAACCCTAAATTCAAATGGAAAATCCTCAAGAACCTCGAAAACCTGCACACAGTATCCAGTCGATACAACACGCTAAATTTTTTTTTCACTAACCATTTTCCATCCACATCTCCATCTGACCGCTCATCTTTTTCCATTACCGAAACCCCCTTCGATCCTGATAAGTTTTATTTTCTCTATCTCTCCTACTGACCTACTCTCTGACACCCTTAAATCCAAAACGAATCATTATGGTCCTGACCAAATACCTGTTAAAGTTATCAAACTCTGCCTTCCAGCCTTACTACCCGCACTTCTACACATATATAATTTCTCTCTCCAAAATTCCATTTTTCCCAAATCTTAGAAAAGAGCCATAGTCCGTCCACTGAACAAAGTTCCAACTCTTTCATCAGCTTCCGGCTTCAGACCCATCACCATTCTATCCAATCTATCCAAGCCTCTAGAAAGATTAGTTCAATCTCAGTTGAACAGCTTTCTCGAGCAAAACCATCTTCTCAATCATTTACAATCTGGTTTCCGTTCCCATTATTCAACCAAGCCTGCCTTGCTAAGTATTACCCAAGACCTCCAATCTTCCATAGATAAACAGAAAATCTCCATCCTAATTCTTTTTGACTTTTCCAAAACATTTGATTCCGTTAATCATGAGATCCTTCTCTCCAAACACCAAAGCCTGCCCATATCAAATAGCGTCCTAAAATGGTCCCTCTCCTTCTTATCCAATCGATCTCAGACAGTTACAATTCCGAACAAACCTCCGTCACCACTTCTTCAATTGACACGAAGTGTTCGTAACGGTTCCCGACGCTTTTCTCTATCTATATTAGTGATCTTCCTGACGCCATTCAACACTCCAGTTACCACCTATATGCCGATGATTTCCAAATATACCAACCATTCAAACCTTCTGAGATGCCTGAGGCTGCCAGCAGGCTACAAGAGGACATCGACTGCATCAGATGGGCAGAAATAAATGAATGAAAGCTGAATGTAGACCAAGGCTATTCTCATCGGGTCCAGACATCTTATTAGCTCCCTTTCTTACTTGCCTCTACTTAACCTCAATAACCGTCCCATCCATTTTTCCCTACAGTCAAAAACCTAGGAGTAATCTTTGACCAGAACCTCTTCTGGAATAACCATATCTCCCAGATTACCCGAAAATCCATAACTGCCCTTAAACTACTCCAAAGCTTCCGTGATTGTATTCCTCTAAAAACCAGAAAGCTCCTGGTAACCTCCCTTGAATTCCCCCACTTCGACTATGGCTGTTTGGTGTATGGAGGGCTATCTACCAGGCTTTAAATGAGACTAAAGAGACTCATAAATTGTTTCATAAGATACATTTTCGGGATCCCCAGGCGTTCACATGTTTCACTTTGGTACACCGAGTTGAAGTGGCTTTGTCCTAATTCCCGACGACAATTCGTCCTTGGTGTTTTCCTCTTCCAAGTCTTAAAAACCAAAAACCCTCCATATATCCTGGAACTCCTTACTCTACGCTCCTCTATCCATTCTCTCAATATTAGGTCTCAACCTATAGACTTATATATTCCCTCTCATAAAACTTCCTCCTTCAGCAAATACTTCGTCATTCGTACTGCTTCCTTATGGAACTCACTTCCCACCTCCATGCGTCAATCCTCGTCCACAATTTCCTTCAAACAACTCCTGTTCCAATACCTACTCCACATTCAAACTTCCCCAAACATGTAAAATTACTTGCATCTGTACACTGTTTAATTTCAGTATATTGCACAATTGAAATAACAATCAACAGTAAATTAGGTTGTATTTTTATTATTATGTCCATCTGGACTTACGGACTAGAACTATGGGGAACAGCTAAATTTTCAACGCAACATCAAACGCATCCAATCCTTTCAGTCTAAAGTCCTCCGTACAATAGTCGATGCTCCCTTCTATGTAACCAATAAAACCCTGCTTAATGACCTTAATATCCCATTTATTCTTGATCTTACCCCAGCCAAATTTCACCGGAACCTTTCTCATCACCCAAATCCCGTTGTACAATCCCTATCAAGCACCACCCATCCCTACAATCCCCTTCGTAGGTTAAAGCGGCAGTGGCCACGAGACCTTTTGTAAATATGGATATTTTGGAGTTCTAGCAATGGCCAGATTCTCCACTCAAGTCATGAGTATCTGTGGCTGTAGCACTCTTACTCATCCTCCGCTGGTTTTAAATACCAGTGAAGTGGCTGAGGAAGAAGCGTAGGGATCTCCTAAGCCTCGCTTTTCCTTCCACATGTGGGGGGACAAGATTGGTTCGGAGATCACCTGGCTAATTGTGAATAGTGTATATAGGTATGTTTGTGTCTAAGATGTTTGTTTTACTTTTATTTCTATTTTTACTTACTTATGTGTATATATATATATATATATATATATATATATATATATATATATATATATATATATATATATATATATATAAATATATATATATATATATATATATATATATATATATATATATATATATATAAATATATATATAAATATATATATATATATATATATATATATATATATATATATATATATATATATATAAATATATATATATATATATATATATATATATATATTTTTTTTTTTTTTTTCTTTTCTCTTTTATTCTTTTTTTCTTATTCTTTTGTTCTTACTTTATTTATTTATATTTCTGTATATATGGTATGAATGTACTCTCTGAACTCTATTATTATAAGTGTCCTTAACTGTGACAGATTGTAATATTTCTCAATAAAATGTTTAAAAAAAAAAAAATTATTATGTCAGACTAAGCCCCAAAAATTTGTAACTCTGTTATTATTCTTAGGGGTCGGTAGTCCCAAAATAAAATTATTTTTTCTTTTCATTTCATTTTTTATTTCGCCTAAAATTTCGAGTGCCATATCATTAATCTACACTAGATAAATAGTGCTTTTATCAACGTTAGAAATAAATGTAAACTTTTCAAGTCTGTCAGAGAGGGTCCTGCCGTTACATAGTGTGAGACCTAATAATTCCGTCACTTCCACTAATTGTTTTCCTCGTCTGTTAACATTTTTGTGGCTGTTCGTCCTTGTAGCGTATAGATTTGAGTTGTATATCATTTCTTCATCAAAGCAATTCAGGTCACCTATATGACTGTTGAAGTCACCACTGATAAACAAGCAAGAGTCTGAATAATTGAGAAGTAGTTCCGTGATAGTATTACATAGATTTTCCAATATTGTATCCATATCACAGGGGGCAAGTAAATGTGTCCAATAGTTAATAATTTGTTATTAATTTTAATATTGACAAACATCCAGTAGCGCTTGACATATACAATACTCGTTCCTGAAGTAATGGAGCTATGAACTAGGGTTAGCAAACCACCGCTGCTAAACCCTGTTGTGTTTACTTTGACAGCTTTACTGCTAAAAGGTGTATAACCATACACCTTACCATGGAGGTAAAGAGAAATTATCGCCAATCACCCAAGTCTTTAATAACAGATATTGGCTTATAGTATCACAATCTTCTAGTGTAAATTTAAAAAAAATTTTCAAACCATTTATATTGCCAAACAAAATATGATATATACATATATATTGGGTGTATATGTAATATGTTGTACATTATTCCGATTAGTTTTACCGAGTCCTTTCCGTGAAACGTGAACAGGTATTAGGGCGGAGGAGATGGGTTCCTGGGTTTCTGACGGACGACTTATCCATTGCTGAGACCGATGAACTTCGTGGTCAACATTTAAACTTATCTAGTCTATTTTCAACTTTTCTTTTTTTTTTTTTTCTTGTTCCTCATCCGATGATTGCAGCGGGCCCAACTGTGATAACGATATGGGGATATCAGCTTCAGATTCTTTGATTAGGTCATCTACTTCTTTCATTCTATAGTAAGACCCTCGTATTTTGAAAAAAAAAAACGCATTTCTTGTAAGACGCATTGCTATCAATAGTTTTTAATTTGATTAAGCATGCGTGAACTTTTCTCCCTTCTTTTCAATCTTCGGGGGTCTTATCATGACTTAAAAATATGTTTTTATTTTTTAAAATATCCCTACACTTAAAAATCTCTGGTTTTACTTTATTATTGTCGAGTGACACCAATATTGGGCCTTTCTGAAGTCTATAACAGGTGTTAACTGCATAATCTGGGATCACTATATTACACTCCGTGAAGCTGTCTTTAACTTTGTCGAGTGTATTTTCATTTTCACTGACGGGGATATTATGGATAAAAAAATTATTCTTTTTTATCTGCCGCTTTAAAAAATGAATTTCTTTTTCAATTTAGCATTATTTAACCCTAAACTTTGGCAGGTATTTTTTAACCGATCACATTCTTTTAATACGTTATCTATGAGAGAATTATTAGTATCGAGGGATATTTTCATTTCATTAATAGCTCATGTACATAGCAAAAGACTCATGTACACAACTATAAAGGCCTATTTAGTCATAAGGAATTGAGCTTTGGGGATCCAATAAACCATCAAAATTCTTCGTAAAATCTTCAGTGATCCTTACTTCATTATAAATAAAATCATCCATAACGACCTTAATTTTCCATATGTTTCCGATTTGGATTATTAAATTGGGCGATTAGCCAAGCCTTCTATAATAAACTTTAGGACCATTCTAATCTTCTCGTTTTTACCTTGCTTGTTCTTCAATAACTAATAACCCCCAGAGGCATTTGAAAAGGAAATGGCCTAATTATCTCCTTATTTAAAATCTTTGATAGAGAGTTACCAATCGGTTGTTTCTCTAAATGTATTTTCATGCCATCGTATTTTCTGTATCACATTTAATGGATGTATATTTATTTTTATAATGTTGTAAATTTCATAAATAATAATAAACAATATGTTGTTAAAGTAATTCTTTTTTGTAACACTTTTATTATTTAGAAACATATTATTACTCAGTTTACAAAATAAAAATCAGTGCTTAATTACAACTTAAAGTAAGGTTTCTGCTGTCGTCTGTTGTCCAGGTACTTCGTTTGAAACTGGTCTGGAATAGCCCATGTTATTGTTAGGAGATCGTTTATAGAAGAAGTATCTGTAATAAAAGAAGTATTGGAAATTTACTAATATATCATTTTTTTTATAGTTTACTACTAGAGTGAATCTAATATGATCAGTCAAATAAGAAGGCAAAATAAATGATAATATTTATTTTGACATTTGCCGACGTTTCGACCTGAAGTTCAGGCCTTCATCAGGGCTAAGAAAAGAACCAGATAACAAGGTATGAGAAACATAAGTAGTGTAGGTAAAAAAATTAAAGTAAAATGCAGTTGTTAGAATAATGACAATAGTAAGAACTAAGAGATAAATAGTAATAACCGGTACAAAGTGTGGAATGATGAAGTCAACATAATAAAAAAAGGTGACATAAGTATTACAATGGGAATCTTAGAATAAAATGCAAAACAGAAAAATATGAAGTTACATAAGAAATGAAAATAAATAGTAAAATTAAGATATTGCGAATAGAATAGTTAGTATTGTAAAGTCTATCAAGATGTACAGACAACGTATAATATAATAAAGAGTTAAACAGAGAAAAGGAAGGAAAGGAAGGAGGAAAGAAACTGAGAAGGCTGAAATAAGAAAGAGAAAAAGAAAGAAAAACAAAAACAAACCTGACTCCAAAAAAGGTGTAAATCAAAGCAATGAGAATGGTAGCGAGGAAGGGGGGGGGGAGAGAAGGGATATATAGTGGCGTCATCTCCAACGGTTATCTGACGAAGTTTGAACTAAAGTACCGGAAGCATAGATAAGGAGGAGAGATATATTACTCATAAATATTATGGATAATTAAACAAGTTTCTTCCTCTTAAACAAGTCTATTCCTCTTTCAATTAATAAAGTTTAATTGAAAGAGGCCTTGAGTCTATCTTGGACGGTGGGGAAAACCATACTGAGAGTGGACCCTGTCCTGCTTGTCACCCACCGGCTGTTCCACTCCTGGATGGGTTCCTCCTTGACTATCTTCTTCCATTGGTTGGGGTTCTCGCCGATTCTTCTTCAGAGTCCCTCCGGTAGCGTATCCAGTCCCTACCTTTTGATCTGAAACATTCATGAGTCCTCATTGACGATTAGTTCCAGGGGCATCGCTCCGGCCAGCACTTGCACCACCTCACCGTGGTGGTGGGACACCGTTCTGTAGGCTCTCGAGATAAAAGACAATAGCCTTTGTAAGTACAATTCTTTGAATATTGCTATATCCTTGGTCAAGGCATATCTTGTTCCAATTAGGCACGCTCGCTTTGACCACTGAGTTATAATATCCTGTGACCCTTGTCCGTGGGAATAAGTCCGTTTGGAAGTGGGCATCTTGACCATGTGGTATATTTATGTGACATGCATCCGCCCTGATTCTAAAAGCTGTCAATGTCACAACCCCGAATATCAGGCAGTTGTCCATCGGATTCCTTTTGAACTGTCAAGGCTTCCGCCCTTAGAGAAGTTTTATTACTTTACTTCTGAATATCCTTTGTCCAGTATCCCTACCGGCACCTACCCCCAGGTTCCTAGAAACCAAGATAACGCCCATCACCCCCTCTCCTACTACGTCCAATGCTATCCCCACCCCAGAGTTGGGCTATATTACCGCCCTTAATATTAGAGAAATTCATTCCATTCAATTCCATCATTCCATCTGTAAATATCACTAGATGTAACTTATGTAACATTAGTTTAGGCCTGACAAGGCTAGTTTGTAAGAAGTTCACTAAGATTATGTCAATATAACTTTATATTACACAATAAAAGTATATTTCAAAGTCTTCACTGGTGTACGAGTTCGTTAATTCTCGTGACGCCCATCAGAGACAGACGTTGTGTGGTGGCCAATCGTCGCTTGTGGTTTTGCATCAGGCTATGGCTCCACGCGGGGGATGAGTACCTCAGGATACCCAAGATGACTCCTTTGTATATTGTCATGGTTGCCGGGTACCTGAGGCCCCAGAAGGCTCCCCGATTCTTCGAAGACCATTCATCGTCAGGGTCACCCTATCCCCTAGGTATTCCAGGTGAGGAGTTACGTCGAAATTCCTTCTGATTCGTACTCCTAGGTATGTCATCTCCTCACCTGCCCTGATCCTTGCACTTTGGATGTACAAGTAGATAGGGTGAGCCCTGTCCGTGGAGCCTCTTATAAGTATGGCTTGCGTTTTGGCCGCGGCCACCGCTAGTTTGAGCCTCACTCACCAATCTGATACTAGGCTGCTTCCGTCTTTAGTCTGGTTCTGCTGTTCTCACCCACGATGATCGCCAGGTCGTCGACGTAGGCCGTGGCAAGGAAACCCCTATTTTCCAGTTCCCCCAGCAACTGGTCGAAAACGAGCCTCCACAGGGCTGGACCCAGGACTAAGCCCTGTGGACAGTCCCCCTCTATCCTCCTCTCGACGTCATAGTAGCTACCCCTAATCCTGATGGTCCTGTGACTGAGGTAGCTGCCTACTAGGGAATAAAGATTACTGGTGGTGTCAAGATCTTGCAACCGCTGGAGTACGCAGGGCCACTATACACTGTCGAAGGCGGAAGATATGTCAAACAGTATCAGAAGAACGTAATTCTCAGCCTTCCCCTCCACATCCCTGCGCATTCTCAGCAGAGCTTTGTGGTTTCCTTGCCACGTATCGAGCCGAACTGCCGTGGATATCTAGCTGCATTGAGGATCGGTCTCAGGCTAGCGGCCATCATTTGCTCCAGGACCTTGCTGACGACCGGGAGAAGACAGACCGATAAACTTTGGGTTATTCCTTGTCCTTGCCGCCTCCCTTGTAGAGCAGTCTCAAGTCTGCGATCCTCCACTTGCTTGGGAATTACCCCTTGTCCAAGCATTCGTTCATGATCATGAGGAGTTCCTCTTACATATGAGGGATACTTTTCTTTAGGATTGCAGCGTCAAGTCTTGGAGCTCGGCCGATCGTCTGCACAGGAGCAGACGAAGATCCCAAATGTCCCAAATGTTCATCATGGTGGGCACAGGTCAGTACCAGGCGGGTATGACGTGGTGCATCTAACCATAATATCAGCTTCGCTATCCTGGGACGGATCCCCCCCCCTGGGGTACGTGTAGTCTATATAAATCGCTGCAGATTCCCCGAGGGTGGCGGCCTGAGCTTCAACCACTCTGATGGCAGCCATCATCTGCTGCTGCCTTACTTTGCCCAGTGCCAACCTTTATGGTATGCCCCAGAGATTCTTCTCCTAATCCTGCACTATGAACTCGTCCCAGGATTTCTTCTTCTGGAGACGCAAGCAGTTTCGGTATACCCTATACCTATGCTTCGCCTCTTCTCGGAGTGCGGGTTTTCTATTCTCATCACTACACTTTGGCACTTCTGCCTAGCTCTGTAGCAGTCTCGCATCAGCTGTGTCAGGGATGGCGTCCACGATGGGACCGGACTCGCTCTCGCCCTTCGGTGCTGGAGGGAATTTTCCGCTGCTTAGGTTCACCACCCGCTCTTCGATGTCCGCCGTTTCATCAACGGGCACCCTCTCCTCTATTATTCCCTCCAGTGTACTGGAGTAGGCACATCAATCTGCCGATCGGGTTATGAAGCTCATCTCGCAGATAGGGAGTCTGCCCTCCTCCTCCACAACACTGAAGGTTATGACCCGGTGGTCGGAGCTCGTGTCAGACCTTAGGGTCCAGTCAGCCACCCTCCTTGCCTGCTGCCCGCATAGTGCTGGAGATTTCCTCCCTTTCTACTTTGGACCTTGCAGTTCCGGCAGCATGGTGGTAATTTTTTCTGCCTTTCTGGGCATTCTCTGACCTTGTGCCCGGAAGCCGTGCACCATCTGCACGCCAACTCCTCCTTGCAGGACTTTGCGGGGTGGCCATAGTGGCCTGGCACCTCCGGCAGATCAAGGGATCCAGGTAGTCCTTGATGAGCAGGTTCCACCAACCTCCATTAAAATCGGCCCTTGGGATGTTCATCAGAGCCGTCCTAATTATTGGGTATACCTCTAGGATCCACATCGCGGTTATTCCTCCTCTTGAAGGAGTTGAAAAGCAGGTTCTTTCCTCGGCTTGGTTTTCTACCCCTTTTTTTCTTCTTCTACAGGAACTCCTCCAAGACCCCTGAGTCCCAGTGTCTGGGCACTCCCTTGACCTCCAGTCGGGGACATCGCGAGGTAGTCAGCTTCGCCTCCAGGCCTGGCTCCTTGAAGCGACCCCACTCAAGAATTTTCTTAGCCTACACCATCCCCTCCGTCCTGACTAGGACCCCTGCTACCTCTTCGGTTTCCCTTCCTTCCACCAACGTAACCGCTATGCGTTTTTTGGTTCCACATGTTCCATCTTCGCAGCTTTCCCCCGCTGGAGTTGTCCGCTTGCCAACCCTCTTATACTCTTCAATGAATTGGGCTACTGCCTCAATTTCTACTATTATATTGATTAATTCTTGACAGTTTATTTCTTGACAGGTAATCCCTTAATCTGTCCTGGATTTTCTCCGCCTTTTTAATGGGACACTTTTCTCTAATACTCTCTTCTTCTTTCTGTAGGAGAGTATCACCAGCTACCTCCCTCGGGTTGTATCACTTAGGGCCTTTCCTCATTTTTATCTTTTTCCTCTCCCATTTTCAGGTTACCCCTTTACAAGGCTATCTCATCAATTTAACCAGATAAAAATGATTATGAAAAATAATAATCTGAATATAATATGAAATAATCTAATGAATTACTCTAAATAAATTATAAAAATAAGTATAAAATATGAATATAACCCTATAAAGATGAAAGAATATAAAATAATATATAATATGACTAACAATATGAGCAGCCAACTAAGAGCAATCGAGCAGTTCAATTCCTAACATTGAGAACATTGTAACATTAAAATAAGATGAATAGAATATAAAAATGTATCAGATTAACCAAGTAATATATTAAATTAATAATGTATATGTATATATATATATATATATATATATATATATATATATATATATATATATATATGTATATATATAAGTTAAGGTACGGAGCGGGACAGTATTAGCGTTAATACCAAAAGCATTGATGTAAACAATCTCAGAATA